CCGTTTGCTCCTCTCCTTCAAACGCAAAAGAAAAACCCCCTCATTGGTATGCAATCCCCCCCCACATCCCCCAACCCCCAAATATAATCCACTCTGCAGCCCTCATTCCGTACTCTTATGATAAACATAATGCAGGGCACATTTCTTTAAGGTGTCTGGATGATCAAGATGTTTTCATAACTTTGTAACCTGTATACTCTACTATACAGGTGAATACACATGCGAAACATACTCTGAAAAACTTATGGGAGTCCTCTCATATGCAGTACTATACCTGTTAGGCTTCGTTTGTATCCACTCATAAACTACTGTTTACTATTGTTATTGTGAAAGCAGGAGTGGCATCCACTTCCTAAACAACACGCCTCTGGAAACTATAAACTTTGATAAATGTCTATTGTTGCAGAGGCGCTTCAGGCCTTTTTTGCTCATAGGGTTGCTATGAGTTGTGCTCGACTGGAAGGCAGTCAACAACAACAACTGTTATTGCATGATTGTGTCCTTTCTACTTTTGTGTACCTCCTACTATATTCCTTTCTTGTCACCTTCACCTAATTCATATCTACACTCCAGTTAATGACTTAGCCTCTCCCTCCATCCTGTTAAACACAGAACAATGTTTCTTTCTATGTGTAGCCTTTTCTTGACTGTCTATAATGTTGTTACTATGTTTTGTTGCATCACTTGTAACTCATAGTAACCTTATGTACAGTAGCTCTGAACCCTGCCCTATCCTGAGCCAATTTTATTGTCTCCAACACATGTACCCCCATTGCTCCAGTTACTGTATCAATCTATCTCATTCGGGTCTCCTGTGCTGTCCCTCCACCTTTCCCTAACAGAGGTACCATGTTCGTCCTTTTGTCACAATGACTTGGACTTTATTTCACTCAGTATATTGTAAACTTACGAAGTACTTTTTGAAAATTTTTTCTTTTAAACATTAAAATGTTTTAATTTTTCTCCCATTGTTGCACCCCTCAACCTCAGGCCATCCCACAGTGCACCTCTTTTTCCAGACTGTTGTCATACATATAATGTCTAATCATATATCCCTTTCGGACAATTATTCCTCTCACCTGATTCAATGCAGTGTTTGTTATCTATCTACTCTTTCCCCCTTCCTTCCCCAATCCTATGTAATATGCAGCCTTGCATAGTGGAAGGAGCTGCTGCTACTGTTGTTATGTGCTATGGAGCTGGAACTGACTCACAGCTGACGTCCCAGCAAGTTTTCAGAGATTAAGATGAATGGGAGGGACTGGCCATCTTTCTTCCATGAAAAAAACTAGAGCAGGACCACTGCCTTTGGGTTGGCAACACAATTCCTTAGTCACTAGGCCAACAGAGCTCCCTAAAATGGGGACAGTACTATTTATTTTGTAGGTTACTATAAAGACTTAAAAATGTTAACACTTATGTCTGATATAATAAATTCTTTTTAAAAAATTAGCATTCATTCCTCTTTGGTCCACCCATATTATTATTATTTCTAGCCAGACATTCTGAGAAAAG